TTGAAGGCCCTAAGAGAAAAATACCAAGGTCCCGTGAGGAAGAAGACTTTGCCCCAGACTGCCTTTGGATTCAGGTTGAAGTGTCAACTCTTCCCTGGGTTTCAAGTCTACTCACTATCATGGGATCCAGTTCCTTACACTAAATCCTTTCTCTTCTCTCCTCTTACTTTCCTCCTCTGTCTTGTCTGCTCTCTCCTCTACCTCCTCTCTTCTGGAGCTCTAGAGAACCCTGACTAACTAATGCACAGGGCTCCATACAAGAATAAAATTGCAGGCCTACATAGCATATCTAAATATTTAAAATTTATACTAAATGTTTAAAATTTGTATATCAGGCTACCAAACAGGTCTATTCTTTTATCTCAAAAAATATACTGGAAAATCTAGGTTCAAGTTAAAATCCTCAGATGCCTTCAAATTGTTCACCTAAATTTAGTGACACTGAGAGGCCCAACCCACTCCTCTTCCTTCTCTTCCTTTTTAGGCTTACACCTCACTGTGAAGTAAAAGCCCTTACACATGTTTATGTGGAGCCCCAGTCCATGCTTCTAAATTCCATCCAACCTCTCCACAAAGAACAGACCATTGCTTCCTAGCACCCTCCAAGTACCCATGAAGACAGACCCAGGAAAGGAGTCTGTAAAAGTTGTGGAAGTGGGCTTGTCACCATTTAGGCAGGGAATTCCAGCTTCCCAGACACCCATTATTAGGTCTAGAAGGGGACTAGCATCTCTATGTTGGCACATTTCCTTTATTCCACTGTCTCTTCTTCAACATGAGGCTCTCTTGAGCATAGGGAGGATTTACTGTCCATAAATAAAAGCATGGCACTAAGCCTACCAAATCCTCAGTGGGCAAAGATATAGGAGAACAAATGTCCAGTGGCCCGAGTCTTGCCCACAGGAAACGCTGATCTTCCAAGGGCTCCTTTCCAATCCTAAAAACAGAAATGGGAAACCCAGGCAGCTTGTGCCAAGAGGATACAAACTGAACCATTCCTGGTGAAGCAAAGAATGTGAAACAACTTAAGAGGGAATACTTCAGTTTGGGGCCTTGCAAACTTGGCCTATTAGTTACCTCCACTTTCTTATTTTCTATTTCCCCAATAAAATTGTAATCTGCATCCCAACAACTTCCTCTGTAGACCCATATATGAACACTGATGTATACCAAGTCCTAGGGGCTGGCCCAATGGAGAGCCTATTCTGAGTCAGAGACTTCTTGGCTCAAGGTTCTTCTCACTGGTTGCGCTCAAGGCAGTTCCCAAAGGCAGTTCCCATAGTTTGTGAACATCAAGACCAATGCATGGTAGCTGTTCTTTGAGTGCTACTGGTGCCCTGAAGTCCCTCCCAGCCTAAACATCCCAGCAAATTCCCACCTTCACAATGAGCTGCCACGTTTGAGTAGAGCCAGCAACTCTATTCATGCGTGGGCAAGTGGCTGAGAGTGCAATGCAGGAAGGCATGCAGCTTTACACTGCCCATGAATGAGTCTGTCTGTGTGCTGTAATTCCCTCGATGTAGATGGGACATACAACACTCACTGACTCAACACCAAGGGCTGGCCAAAGGCTTAGGGCCCACTCAGTGGCAGCAATATGTCACCTGTCACACACCTTCTAGTGTTGCCTTTCTTGGAATGACTGGGGTTTCTGAGCCATGTCCAAGTAACAATTTCAAAGATTGTCATGGATGCAGGAATTCAGAAAACAGATGCCTTTAGGAGAGTGATGGCAACCAAGTTCTTTTGGGCATGCCAACACTAGACAGCAGAGTATAGACAAACATAAAGTGGAAAAAGTTTGAAGACTAGGAAATAGAGTTCATCCATGTTCAATGATGTGTACAGGTACTTTCAGGAGCAAAGGAGAAGCTCCCAGGTCCTCACTTACTTCTGTATTATATGCACCTATATTACACAGACAGAGACAGAAATATACCATACACTTTGTCCAATTACAGTGGGAAAATTCAATGTTTTTAGTATATTCAAGCATATGGGCATTCATCACCTTAGTCTATTTTAGAACATTTTAATCACCTGTGAAAAACTGAACCCTTTAGCCATCCCCTCTCTACCATCTTCTATGCCCTCCCTCTAATTCTAACCACCACTAACCTACTTTCTGCCTCCATAGTTGTTATGATTTGTGTCTAGATGTACCCCCAAGGCTTAGTGCAGTCAGAGGTGACTGAATCTCGAGTACGTGATGCTAGGATTAAGGGCCTGTGATTACTAAACCACTTACATGTGAATGAGTGGTTTGGCGTCGTCCCAATCCACAGAGTCTGGATGGGATGAAGGAGGCAGACTCTGTGAAGGTCCCTTGTTGCTTTTGCTGTCTTCCACCACCCTGAACTGTTGCCCCTCTGCCTTGGAGCCGGCCGACTATAGACTGAAACCTCTAGGAACTGTAAGCCAAATAAACCCTTCCCCTTTAACTTTGGGTATCAGGTATTTTGTCTCAGCAACAAAAGAAAAGTAACTACAACAACAGTCTTCCATTTTCTAGATGTTAAATATGAAATAAATCATATATATGTGGTCTTTTTTGACTGGTTTCTTACACTTGACAATGTTTTCAAGGGCCATCTATATTGTACCATATATCATTATATCACTGCTTATTGTGGATGAATAATATTCCATTGAGTGTATGTTTCACATTTGGTTATCCATTATTCTTTTGTAAACATTTGGATTATCCCTGCTTTTGATTGTTATGAATAATGCTGCTGTGAATATTTGAATACATGTTTTTATGTGGACATGTTTTCAATCTTCTTGAATAGATACATCAAAATCATACGACCTACTAGGTCATATGGCCACTCTGTGTGTAACATTTTGAGGAACTTTCCAATTGGTCTTCACAGTGTTGCACAAACTTACCTTCTGGAGAGCAATGGATGAGTGTTCTAATATCTCTCCCTCCTCACCAACACTGCTGCTTATCATCTGAATGTTTGTTTCCTTCCAAAATAAATATGCTTAAATCTATTGGCTAATGTGATAGCATTAGAAGTGAGGGATTTCAGAATTGGCTAACTTGTAAGAGCTCCACCTTTATAAATAGGATGAGTGTCTTTATGAAAGAAACCAGCTAGCTCTTCCCCCATGTGAAGACAAAGCAAGACGGTACTGTCTGTCAATCCGAGAGCGAGCCCTCATCAGACACTGAGCCTGTCAGTGCTTTGATCTTGGATTTCTCAGCCTCTGGAGCTGTGAGGAATATATTTCTGTTGTTTATAAGTTACCCTGCCTAAAATATTTCATTATAGAATCTTAAACAGACTAAGACAACTTATGTTCCTTTTTAAAAATCAAGATCATCCTAATGGCTATGAAGGGATATATAATTACAGTTTTGATTTGTATTTCTCTGATGGATAGTTAGATTGGGCATCCTTCCTCGTGCTTATTTACTTTATGTATCTTTTTGGATAAATATCCATTCCAATCTTTATTTGTCTTTTTATAGTTTAGTTGAAAGTCTAGTTCAGATTAATACCAACTTTTGGGCTTAGGGGCTGTTTCTATTGATTGATTTTATTCTTATGTATGAGATATTTTTCCTTAGGTTTTTTGTTTAATTTTTATAGAAAGCTACACAGTAAAAACATTGTAATGTATCCATTCTGGAAATCACGTTTTCCTCATTCCCTTGGGGTTTATTGTTGCTGCTGCTTACTGTATTTGGTGTTTGTTTAATGACTTTTCTAAATACTATACTAGTACTTCCTTTTTTTGTTTGTTTGTTTGTTGTTGTTGTTGTTGTTGTTGTTCCGGGGATAGAAGTTGGGTCCTTGCATTTGCAAGGTAAGCAGTGGAACCACTGAGCTAAATCCCCAGCCCTAAATACTGTAAATGAGTACACTTTGTCATATAAAGCCACGAACTATTTTTCCTTCAACTCAATGGTCAGTTAAATTAGGACAGAAATTTCCTTAAGTATGGTAGGATAAAGTTCTGCCACAAATTCCTTAGCAAAAAAGTAGGCTATTCTGGATTGTTTCTTATATGGCTTATACTTAGATGTCTACCTCCCAAACCTCCTATTCTCTGCAGATAGAGTTTTTGAGGCGGTGGTTAGATCATGGGTGTGTGATAACTGGATTCCTGCACTGATTGATTTACTGATGGAATTGCTGAAGAGGGAAGCCCCACCCTGGGTGTGGATGGCACCAGTAAATAAGCTTGTAGCCTGGATGGAATATAATGAGAAAGAAAGCAGGTTCCCGCTTCCTTTCTTCCTGCCTGCCATGGACTGTTTCTCCTCTGCCATGCTCCTCTGCCCTGCTGTTCTGCTTTGGAACCAGCCAACTATGGCTGAAACCTCCACAGACTGAGAGCCAAAATAACTCTTTCCTCCTTTAACTTGTGGGTGTCAGATATTTTGTCTTAGCAACAAGAAAGTAACTAAGACGGTGCCTATAGAATCAAAGCACCATTATTTTAGTCCTTGGAAGTGCTCTCAGTGACCTTTTATTGGGATAAATTTTGAATCCATTCTGAGGATATTTAGTTGCTTGGTGCATAGTTTGAAAGGAAGCAAACAGCATTATGAAGTAGGTGGCCTGGCAGTGGTTTCGTAGTCTACCTTTTTTTAAAGTGACCTAGGCATCCATCATACATTGCCTCTCATTCCATCGACACTCTGATGTCATCCCACCCACCATCTCACACACATACATGCAAATAGGAACACCAATCCCTTTTTCCTCCTCACCTATGGATTAAAATATGAGGAATAAAAAATTATAGTCAGTCCTCATCCTGCCCTAGTCCTTATCCTCAGTGTTTGGTTAACTGTAAACCTGCCAATGTAGCTCCCAAGTCTCAAGGATCTCACCTCTTCACTTTGCTCTTTCTCACATACCTGTCTATTTTCTACCTACTTTCCTCATGAATGGACAGCTTGCAAACACACACACACACACACACACACACACACACACACACATCTTCTGGAATAAGAGCCTCTTCAAAAATGTGTTGATTTTACTTTTACTACCATTATATAGGTTTCACAATGGTGCTGTATCTTGCAAGAGTGTTAGTTTTCAGAGTGTCTTAGGCATAGCAGGAGCACCTTGGTGTAAGCTTCTATTTGAGCTTTGCCAATGGTCGAAACTTCTTGGCCTTTTTCACTCTCTTCACCTTTCCTGGAATTGCTGTACTAGTTCTAAATGATTTTTTTCGTGACCTTTCATGAAGCAGTCTCTTTATTTGCCTCTGTATTTCCTTCACCTGAAAGGACAACAAAGTGATCCTAGAAAGATATTGCCTCCAAGGAAGAAGATGGAGACTGAATAAGATGTGAGGAGACTTCACGAGATGGGATGTAGTATAATGAGGATGCTTGTACCAGACAAGGAAAGGGTAGGAGATCTGGAGAAGGCAGAATCAAAGGGAGAGAAGAGAAAGAACGTAAATGAGGTAGTTTCACCTTGTTCTCATTTCTGGGCATGGATTTGTAAGGATTCTTCCTCTTCTTCCCTTTTGCATTTCTCCTGAGTTGTTTTGTCTTTGGTATTGATTGTTCCATAACTCTTCTACGCTTCACTGGTTTCCTGGTAACTTTAGCCATGTTGCAACCTCCCAATGGTCTTCTCTAGAACTCCTAAATACCCTTGAAACTACCTTTCACCATGACAACTAGGAGCCACACCCCCTCAGCTTTGTTTGTTCATCCAGTGCCATCCAATGGCACTTCTCCCAGCCATTAGGGACTAATGTGGGCCCCCAACATCACAAAGTACCAGTCCCGGCTCCTCCTCAAGTGAGCGGATGCTGGAATAGCAAAATGCTCCAGTTGGACTGAGTGGGAAAAAGAAAGATGAGAGTCAAAAAAATTGATAAATGTATATCACAATCAAAACATTGTAGTTAACCAGACATAATTAAGAAATTAAAGAGACAATGCACAAAATGTGAGAAAATTGTGCACACCATATATCTGATATGAGTAATTTATGTGGACTATATAAAGAACCCTTACAACTGAATAATAATAGACCCCAAATGAAAATTGAGTGAAGAATATGAAAGACATTTCTCCAAAGATCTACAAAGTGCTAGTAATACATATATCCATAATAAGCATCATTAGACATTAAGGAAACATAAAGGAAAACCACAGTGATATATCATTTCATACCCAGATGCATAGTAATAACAAAAAGCAGATATTCACAAAAATCTGTGAGGTCGTGAAAACTTAGAGCCTTCGTACCCTGTTTGTGGGAATGTAAAATGGTACAGCAGCTTTGAAAATGGTGCAGCAGCTTCCTAAAAAGCTATCCACAGAGTTACCACAAGACCCTGCAACCCCACTCCTGAGTATATCCCTAAGAGACATGGAAAGTACATCACACAGTTGTTTACTAATGTTCACAGAAGCATTGTTCATAACAGCCAAAAAGTAGAAAGAACCCAAATGTCCATAAACTATAGAGCGGAAAATAAGCTGTGGTATATGCATGAAATTGGATATCTACATCATATGAAGAAGGGAAATACTGATGCACACTACAATATTCATGAAGCTGGAACAGACTATGTTACATGAACAAAGGACCATATAATACCTGATTTGACTATCAGCAGATCTGCAGACACTGAAAGAGATTGCTAGGAGCTTAAGGCTGGGCATGGAACAGGGAGAATAGGAGGTGATGACTCAGGGTACAGGTTTTTATTTTCTCAGAGTAATTAAGGTATTGTACAATTGATTGAAAAATTCTGTGAGCATAGTGAAAGCCTTTGAATTATCCAATTTAAATGGGTGAACTGAATACTATTCATTATATATGAATATATAATGAATAGTATATGAGTTATATACTATTCATATACTATTAAATATATATGATGAGAACCACAATAAAGCCATGAAAAATGAATAAGAACTGTTCCCCCAAATATAGTTCAATAGCTAGTGTTTTAGAATCAGACAGACCCAAATTTGAGTACCAACTCTGTCACTCACAAGCTGCATGACTTGGTACAGAGTTTCTATTTTACAAGATGGTAAATGCACCACTATATGAACACAGGTGACAGTACGTAGAAATAGTTATCATTGGAAATTTTATGCTCTGTGTTTTTATCAGAATTTAAAGACATAAAAATACAATATTGTCAATTTTGTAAAAGAAAAGAAAGGAGTGTTTACTGTCTAGTCACAAGTGCTTAGGAGAGCTGGCAGCCACAAGGCAATCATTAGAAATGCAGCTCTGAAAGTCCGTCACTTCTGTCACTACTAGCTCCAATACGAGGGCCCAGCCTCTCTCCTGAGTTCAACACAGTGGTTCTCCATACTGATTGCATATTGGGGCCACCAGAAGAAAGTGTAAAATTACTGACAGCTGAGCCACAGCCCTAGGCACTCTGGCCTACTTTGTCTGAAGAATGGAATGGCAATTAGAACATTAAAAAAAATGGGATTCTAAAGTGTATCCAAAACGGAGGGCCACTGAAACAGAGATTCAAAGTGGGTGTGCTGGTCTCCTTGTGGGTTTTTTAAGGGAATTGCGATCAAAAGGACTGGCATGAATGGTATGTTTTAAGGAAATGAAATAAAGTAAATTGTGGGGATGGAGAGGAAGTAGAACCAAGTGAGGTTAGTGATGACTCTGGTGGAGAGGAGTTAAGGGTAACTTCCAGGGTCCTGGCTTGGACAACAGGAAGGATGGTAGTGTGATTCCCCAAAGCGAGGAAGGCTGGAGAAAGGAATTGGTATTTGCATGGGTTCCATTGAGCAGATATATGAGCTTGAGATGCCTATAAGAAATCCGTGTAAAGACTGTAAATAGGGAGTTGGAGATGGTCTGAAGCTTGAGGAGAGGTTTACTGCACAGGTAAATGCATATATCATTTACATCTACAAGGATGAAGAAAAACACCATGGGAGAAAAATAGACAGTGGGAAAAGAAGAGAGCTCAGAACTAAACTTCTTGAGTACTCCAATAGTGGCTTAGAAAACTGAAAAAAAAAGATTTTAAAATGGTAAAAATAACATAGCTAATATTTATCAGGCACCTATTTTATGAAGCATTGTTCTAGAGGATTCACTTGTTTTAGGACATTTAAATTTCATAACAACTATGAGTTAGGTTATTGTGATAACATGTCGAACACCATTTATTTTGACCTCCAACATCTTTCAAGACCATTTTTCCCCCTTTCCTTCTACCCAGTATCTGAGCAAATTAGATGCTTTGTCCTTTGGCCCAAATAGATATTTTAAAACATGAATGGCCTCTCTCTCTCTCTCTCTCTCTCTCTCTCTCTCTCAACTTCACTCCAACCACAGTAAAAACCTTAAGCTTCCCACTACCACCTTATTCCCAACTCATTCTAGATTGAATCTGAGCCCTTCTCCTTTACTATTTACTAAGAGAGTAATGGGCTCCATCTCATTCCTATGGCTGCTGTAAATTATCACAAAATTGGTGGCTTTAGCAATGGAAATTTATTTTCATACAGTTCTGAAAGCCAAGAGCTCAAAATCAGTTTTGCCTGTCTGAGATCAAGATGTAGGTAGCACCACACCTCATCTGGAGGTTCTAGCATTCCTTGACTCTTTCAGCCTTTGATGGCTGTTGATGTCACTTGGCTTGTGGCCACATCACTTCAATCTTCGAATCTCTATCAGCTCATCTTTATATTGCCTTTTCCTGTGTGTGTGTGTGTGTGTGTGTGTGTGTGTGTGTGTGTGTGTGTGTATAATCTTCCTCTGCCTCCCTCTTATAAACTTACTTGTGACTGCATTTCTGGCCGACCCAGATAATCCAGGATAATCTCTCCATCGCAAGAACCTTATGTAAAGACTCTATTTTCAAATAAGATAACATTTTCAGTTTCAAGGGATTATGATCAGGCATTTCTGTAGGCTCTATTTCATTCTACCACAGCATTCACCGTGCCTATTTGTCATGTGGTCCATGAATTCTAGGGAGCAGGAAATGCCTAGTGTCCAGCAGAGAACACTGGGCACCAAAGTAAAACAACAATAGCATTATTAATTCGTAGGAGATGGAACTGAGGGAATACTCAAGGTTAAGGAACAGGGGAACGATGTGTTTAGTTTTGTTTTATTTCAACAAGACCACTTGCTCATTTGCTGAAAAACTCTTGGATCATTAACAGCCAACAGGCAAGAAGTTAAAGGGTTGTCTGCAGTGCAGTGAGCCAGCTTAGAAGTTTTGAGGGAAAATAAATTTTAAAACATGTCAAAACTTAAAAGAGCATGCCAATTTGTAACTGCAGAATTAACTGATTGTAATGTTAAGTAGAGCAAATCCTCTGAATGCATGCAGGTAGCTAGCAAGTGTTTGCAAAGTTTGACTGGGTTTTCAGCTCTCTTTATACAGTTAGGCTATAGTTGTGTTACACCATCCTACTTTTACAAAACAGGAGATAGTCCACATACCTGACACACCCTGACAGTAGTTACTGTCAAGTCTTGGTTTCTGTAATTATCCAATTTACTCTGACATTCTGTTCTTTATTAGCACCTTCTACAGTTTCCTCTGACAGTTTACCTGGCACATATGATTATTCAAATCCCTCAACATTCTTCAGTGAGTTGAGATGAAGTTCATTTTCCCCACAGAAGTCAGAAAACTGAGTTCACAACCCGTTCTGCCACTAACTTGCTATGTCACATGGGGTGAATCCTTTCTTCTATCTAGGGTTAGGTTTTGTGTCTGAAGAATGAGGAAGGTGTATGGCCCTGTTCAAAACCACATGGTCCTTTATGGTGACTGAAGTGCCCTGGACTTACCCTGGAGATAGATGATTATAAACAATTTTCATGATCTTAAAGGAAAGGCAAGCCTTTTTAATTTTTTAAATAAATAAAATAAAAATGAAAGCCAAGCATGCCTCACAAGCCACAGAACCTCTGACCCACATAGTTGGTCCTGAATTCTACTATGTGGCATTGGGCAAGGACAAGCAGTCATTCTTTGGAATGACTGTAACAGATCTCATCTTGGCAATTACTGTAGGTGGAAATGAGACAATTCTTTCATGATGAACAAAAGTTTTTGTGCCTTTTCCAAGCATTGGAAAAGTGCCTAGATTGACACACCAAACCACACTGATGGAAGAGCTTGGAATGTCTAATTTGAAAAACAGGCAGATGATGATACAATGAGGACCTCTGCCTCCTTTCTTCTCCATTTCTTTTTCTTTACTCTGCTTGTTTCACTCTTTTCTCTGGAAACCTGACTGTAATCACTTTTATTGGATTTAAGCGAGTGCCAAATTAATTAGCCAAAGAGTGTAGACAAATAACCAGCTTAAAGTGTTTCTGGAGCAGAGAATAGGAAGAAAAGGACTAAAGGTGTAGGGAAAGTGGGAAGGGTAGGAGAAAGCTAATAAGTGAAAAGAAAAAAATATGAGAAAAATGAAAAAATGGAAATGAGGTGTTTGTAAAGGGGGCGAGGAGGGGGGGTGAAGGGAGGGCAGGGGTGTGGGGAAAAAATGAGTACCAAGACCTGTCATGTAAAGGTACAAGATCCCAATAATGAATGTAACTGTGCTGTATACCTGAAATGTACCAATAAACTCAATGAGGAAA